TATTTATAATATAACTTACTTGTTCTCTTTTTTTGTTCATCAGTCTTGCCCAGAGTTTCATTGTTGCAGTGGGTTTTTACAAGACAAGCTTTTGGTTTTATTGATTGAAACCGCTCTTATTATCTTATTTCTCCTTCTCCTTTTTTATTTTTTACATTTTTTGTTTTGGGAAATTTTTTTTGTTTTTGGTTTTTTAGTGTGTTTTTTTCTCTTTCTTTTCTTTTTTTTTGTCATCTTTTCAGCTTTTTAAGTTTAGTGCTTATACATATATTTTTCTTTCTGGACTTTTCTAAAAATTCTACTAACTTCCACAAGAAGTTTTAGAAGTTTCATAATGGTCATTATTATACTTTACTCTGTTATAGAAACTGCATGGAACCAAACATCTTCTAAAATAAATTTCTTTAAATTTTAATCAATATTTATAAATTACTGTTGAGCTATATAATCCTTCCATTCTTACAAAACCTTTTAGTGTTTTGAGTTAATATTTTCCTTACCTTCTTCTTTTGTATAGTAGTCTATGTATCTGAGCCTATGATTTTTCTAACCCTTCTGTGGATCCGAATAAAAACTAAATTTTTTCCTAATCCCTTGAACACACTGGACAACCTCTCTAATGCCTTTCCATCTATGTGATTTTCCTGCCACAGCTGTGCAGTTTTAAAGCTTCATCCAGATCTGCTGCTTTTCAAAGACAGTTTTATAGCTATAGCCCAGGGAGTCCTTTTTACCCTTTTCTTACCTAAAATCCTGTATTTCCTGGATTTCACATTTTCGTCTTTTATTTTACCCTTGTATTTGCTGATGCATGTTTTCCAGAACTTTCCCTGAAAAGAATGAATGGAGCATCCTCATATGCCTGAATGCTTTAAATTTAGAGGATGGTTAATTTCTAGTTTCGCTAGGTTTGGAACACTAGTTTTAGTATCATTCTCTTTTACTTCTAAGAATTTTTTCACTATTTTCTAGCATTTGGTATTGAAGTTCAAAGGTCCAAAATGATTTTCATTCCCATGTCCTTGTTTTATGATATCTTGTATCTTGTTTTTACCTCCAGCACCTTGACTTTTTAAAGCAACAATCTTTTCAGTGATTGTAACGGGATTTCTCACTTTGTAGATGTGTCCTTCAATTTTTCAAGCTTTTCTTGTAACTTTTCCTTACAATTTCCTCTCCTTTATTTTCTCAATTTTTTCTAGACCTCATAAAATTGAGATGCAGTCATCTATTGATTCTGAAATATTGTTATGCTTTTCCCATCTGCCACATATTTATTTACTCATATTTCCATTTATTTCATTTTATGTGAGATAGCTTTAATTTTATCTTTTAATTCTCCTGAATTTTTAATTTTTCACAGCACATCCTCAATTTCCAAAGATCTTTCTTGCCTCTTGATTGTACCTGTCATGGGACAGTGAATTGAATGGTAACCTGTGTGATACAGGAATTACAAGTGCCATATCCTTATAACATCTGTAATTCATTTGCTCAGTGATGAGCCATTCATTCAACTAGCCAGGTCAGGCTGCCTATCCTCCTTTTCTGTCCTGTTACTCGCTCCCACTGTGTTATTCTTACTATCCCTGATGACTTCGAAATTTAGGCTATGACTTCTCAAACTGTCTAGAGTATGTACCTTCAGGGCCACATGGCAGGGACGGAGCAAGTCACATGGCTACAGAGTGGGAGAAAGGACCCAAGTACCAACAACCCTATGCGAAATTTGCTATGTCAACCCCGGGGCAAGTGGCACCTTTAACAACTCCCCCCATTTAGAGCCAAATCTGACAGACATTTGAGTGTGAATTACATACCACTTGTTAGTATCGGTGTTTGAAGGTGCTTGAATAATAATTTGAACTGTTCAGTTAAAGCAGGTGTTTTTTAACTTTGCAAAATATATTGAATCTCCTCAGTTAATATTTTCTCTTCCCTTTTCTTGTCATTTAGCTGTGTACTAATGCTTCATTGGCATTTTCATATCATTTGAGGAAATAGAACATATAAACATCTATGACAAAATGGATGTAGTATTTTTTTCTTTTTTTCCAATAAACACAACTGACAACTATGAATTATAGAACAGAAAACGGGTTTTAGAATGAGGTGTTTTCATTACTTTTATATCTACAACTCATATTAATGTGGTTTTATAACATCTCATTTATCTGAAAAATTAGTAGGCTTTTCTATATGATTACTTTCAACTTTAAAATTAGTTGGGGCTTTATTTGCTTTTATTTTTTATTACTTTCTAGTATTATTAACATGAAGTTAGAGAATGTGACTCATTTAATTTCTGCCTTAGGGATTTATTGTGATTTTGTTGTTGTTGTTCATGTACTACACTGTTACCACTGTATTTGAAAATGATGCAAAGCTGCTTTAATTAGATACAGACATATTAAAGTTGATTATAGCTATTACTTTTACTATTTTAATCTGTTCATATCATCATACCTTTTCCTCATATTCTCCATCTATAAAATTCTGAAAGAAAAATTCACTGACGGCCATGATACTTTTGACCAGCTCAGAAGGTAGGGGCCAGCCTGCCCCTTCCCTTGTACTCCAGGGGGCACCAGCAGATTGGGGGAGGGTAGCAATACCTAGCCAACATGCTTCAGAGTAATTATAACCAATACAGCAAGTGCAGGAAGTATCCACTTGTCTGGAAGAAACCAGGAACATGACAAGAAGAAAAAACAAAAGGCAGTCTCCAGCCTCCAACCCAAGCAGTACTGACCCAGGAGTAAACACAGAAGACATCAGGAGTTGCACAACTGCAGTTTCTGGAGTAATAGCATCTGACATAAAGAAACATCATTGTGAAATTATAAAAGAACTTAAAACAGAAATATTAATACAAGTAAAGGAAGATATAAGAAAAATAATAAAAGAACAAGAACACAAACTGTTAAATCAAGAAGAGCTTGGAGCAAAGTAATCCAAGCCCTGAAAGAAAATAACCTCCAACCCAGATTGATGCACCCTAAAAAACTGTCTCTTAAAATTAATGGAGAAACAAGATGCTTCCATGACAAAGAGCAACTGGGGGAGTTCATGAACACTAATTCAACTCTATAAAAAATACATAAGGACATTCTAGAAAGAGAAAAAAGGCTTACTGAATGGGGCAGACATTGGAATAAAGGAGAAAAGTAGACAACCAATGGCCAAAAAATAGCATGGCAGAAATGAGGCAGAGAAGGTCGAAGATCGGTTGGAAGGGCATGACACTTTTGTGCAGTGGAGAACTATTCAGCTATAAGGAAGGAAAACCTTGAGGCTTTAATAAGTAAAGAAATACAACTTAAGATCAAGCTCAGGGGTAAAAAGGTTCAGAACCACTTGGGTGGATAGCAGGTTGCCCCCCTAATCTAAAAGCTAAAGGAGTTAGAGGGACCCAAAATGTACAAAGCACCCTGAGAAAGGGAAAAGGGAGGAACTGTCTTAAAAAAAAAGGCAGAGGATATTCTTAATAGTGTATCAGTATTTAAAAGCCCAATGAGTCTTATCACTCTGTTTAGTTTGATTTTATTCTGTTCCAGTCTGTCTACTTGTACTAGATTTGAGGGCACAGACGGCTACCCCAAAAATAGCTGGATATATTACGGTAACTATATACTTAATTTCCTATTAACTTAACCTGATGTCCTGTATTACTTACACTGTCTTACTATGACTGACCTCATTTGAATCCGGTTAGATCACTGTTTTGTCTTGACTGATTTTATTCACATTCGGTATGTATCAAGTCTAAGAGCAAAGGCAACTTCTCTGAAACAACAAGATGCAATAGGATACCCATTCTGGCTTGATTATTAACTGCTTTTGAAGTCCTATAATGTCTCCAATGTTTTGTTTTTATTACTATTGCTATGTAGTGCTATATTCAATTATATTATGTCTGATGATTGAAAATAACAAGAGACATCATAGTAACTACTGTAGATCACCTATTATTGTGTGTTACTATGTCTTTTTCGTTTCATGTTTTTCTAGGAATTTGTGTTGTTGTCTTATTTTGATTTGTTTTTCCCTCCAATATAGAAAGGCTTCGTATATAGGTAGAGATTCATGCATTTGTAGAACTTCTAAACATTTTACAAGAATAGATTCTATAATGTATGATGTAATGAGCAGATACTCTGAAGAAAATGAAACACTAAGATAGCCAGTGCTAATACTATAGGATCATAATATAAAATCTAGTAATACTATTATTCTCTGTCCAGAGTGATATTAATCTGTTTTCTATTGTTTAATTTTAACATACATAAAGATATGGACAGCTATTTTGAAGAAAACAAGAGACATTCTGGCAGCCATTGTTGACTTCCCTTTTGTCTGGTCTTGAAGACCTAAAATGCCTTCATCATCCTGTTTTGAACAGTTTTATACTATTTTGTTTTGTATGAATCATTCTATGTGAAGATATGGACAACTATTTGGAAGAAAACAAGAGACAATATGATAGACAGTAAAGATCCCTGGTGGTCTTGCTTTGAAATCTGTGTTTCTTATATTGTTTTCTTAGATCCATTTTGTTCTATTTTATTATGCTTAATTTTACCCTCTTTAAAATAAAAAAAGAAAAAAACAAAAAGTTCATCTATTTCTTGTTTCTCAATGTGTAGTCCATGGACAAGAAGTCTGTCCATCACATAGGAGCTGTTTAGAAAAGCAGCACAGGCTTCACCCCAGACCTGCTGCACCAGGATCTTTGTTCTCACAAAATCTACAAGAGATACATATGCAGCATCAAATGGAAAAGCTCTGATTCAGCGATCCTCAATTCTACTTATTGATTTATTTTGAACAACGGAACAGTTTCTTAGCACCTTAAACTTGATATAGTCGTACAAAAGAGTTGCTTTGACTGTATGACTATGTTAGATAATGGGCAAGTTAAATTTCCCCAGTAGCAACCATGTGTATATATACAGATCCTTTCTACCCCCAAAGATGTGCATACACTTCAGGAAAAGAAAAACTTGTATAAATATTTTAATATTAGACTTACTGAAACACCAGGAGATTAATAATAATAACTTTCCCCCTCCACAATTACAAGTGGTGCTCAAAGTGATGGTCATTTGCTTACAGACATTTATCAGCATAGCAAACTTCTGCAGTTTGGATAACCATGGTCACAGATTGCTGCACACGCATTTTCAATTTCTTCTCTAAGGGCCAGCAGCAGTGGATTTCCTATGGTATATCATGTCCTCTCCAGTCCTCCATATGAAGGTAGCAGCATCTGTTGAAGAAACACCTTATTATTTTTCTTTTTCTGAAGCACGTATGCTTTTTTGATGGGCTCTGAGTATGTATGGGTATCTGTGTGTATTTTGCCACTGTAAATATCATGTTGTGCACTTTAAATCTATATGATAAGAAAGAAAAGAATAAAAAGAGAAGGAGAAAAGAAAAAATGAAGGCCATGAGTTTAGCTCAGTGGTGTAAGTGCCTGCCCTACAAGCACGAGGTCATATACCGAGTTCAATACCCAGTACCAAAAAAAAGAATTAAAATAGAGCATTTGTGGTTGAAATCACACCACCATCCTCATCAGGACTCCAAGAAATACAATATGAAAACTGCCATTTTTTCCCAATAAGTTTTAGAATAAAAACTAGTAGGCAAAGTGACAGGACAATCCGTCTTCTCTTGGGGACAGAAACAAGAAGAGAAAAAACACGTCCTAACTCCAGCTCATACTGCTCCCAGGGAGCTCATTTCCTGCCCCAGATCCAGTCTTTTCCTATCATGGCCCAGGTTCTGTATGCGACATTTAATCTGCCACCACACAGTTGCGCTGTCTCAGTCCACACGGCAGGTCACAGACATTTCCCAGAACCTGTACATGTATGGGTGCCTCTAGCCAAACCCTGCAGCTGAAGCATTTGAAACACAGCTGACCTGCCTTCACTTACAGAACTCACTGGGTAATCAGACAGCATTCCAGTGACATTCTTCACAGCTGCTGGCAATGGCTTTTAGTTCACCTGGTGTTTAATCGGGGTGAAGCCTCCTCCAGCTATGCCATGTTTGTTGGTGTGAGCTGAGCCCAGCTCACCTCTCCCTACCTCATGTTCAAATTTTCACACCAATCTGTCATCTTCTGGCAATACAGGTATTTCCAAAAATATTCTCCTTCCATCTTGTTTGTGCCTTTGCCTATTTATTGCAATTAAACCATCTCTTGGTCTACAGAGATTTCCCAGGGCAGAGCTGGAGCATAGTATTGTGCGAGGAAGGAAATAAAGCTTGAGTACTGTGATGGTGAACCTTTTAGAGACAAATGCCCAGCCTGTGACCTAAAATCCACTTACTTATCACAAACTGCCAACCCTGCAATTAAACCTGGATATTGAAGTTTTAGTTTAAGTAAAACAACTCACATATTAACATCTTTTGTCTTAAAAGGAAAACAAATAGCACCTGTGCCATAAGTTTGCCACCCCTGGCCTAGGAGATTGTACAGCAGAGTGTTAGGGCCTGATACCTTCATTATTTCTGATTCCAGATACATTTCTCCTGCACACACATTGTCCCAGAACAGAAGAAACAGACTTCAGCTCATAACATCAAGGGGGTGGTCAGCAGGTAGCCACACCCAGGGGGTACTGTTAAATTTTCTTTTTTTTTTTTTTTTTTTTGATTTCTTTTAATTTTTTTTTATTTAAGGAGAAAAGAACAGAAAAAAAAAACAGTGAAGGGGTACAAGTTATACAGATTTACAGAAGAAAAAAATGTGCAGTAGGAGGTCACTAGTTAATGGATTACATATTGCCATCTTAGAAATAATTGTTCAAGTCACAAAATTAAAGCTTGTAGAGTGGACATTCCAACAATGATACTGCAAACAGTTCTGTTCACTGATCCAATAAAACTCTGTGATATCATTTTCTATCTCATACATTTAAATATACATACAGTTATATAGTTTAGAGCACTTTCTTTTCCTCTCTTTTGTACTGTGACTATTACACATTTTGGGTTTCATTGCTCCCACAGTTCTTATTGCTTTTTTGGAAGAGAGTAAAACCAAATGTGACATAACAGAACCGAATCGGTCAAGTCAAAAGAGTGGATATAATAGATAACATAAAAACATAATACAAGGTGATCAACAATGGTTACCATAATGCCTCCCGCTATTTCTAATAGAATTGCCTATATCATTAGTTGTAATACAATTGAATAAAACAGTATAGAATAAAACCGACAAAACCAAAACATTGGAGATATTGTAGGTCTTCAAAAGTAGATAAACGTCAACGAGAATGGGCGTTATAATGAATCTCATTATCTTCTCAGCTGATGCCTAAACTTTCGAACCTGATACTATCCAGCAAAACAGAATAGAGGAACCTGAGTCAAAAACAAGATGGTGAGAGTAATACAGGGCTTCAAATCGAGATAATAGAAAGTCATAGTGGGTTACTATATTATATCCTGCTATTTTTTCCCTTTAATTAAACGGATAAAAATAAAAAAGTAAATAATGGAGTGGAGATTGAGAAAAAAAAGAGGGCATAACAGCAAAACAGGGCAGATCAAAACATAACCATTTAAGCAGAATAGTGTTTCACCACCAGATATTTCCAACCCAAAAGTAGTTACCATATTGACTCTTTCCTTGAAGTCCTTGAGTATAACTTCATATACTGTAGCATTAAGTATATCAAAACAATGTAAAACCATTTAAGAGAATGACAGCATTATAGAGTATTTAGAATCGACTAACAGAAAATGAACAATGGTTTCTGTATAGTCTCCTTGTCTTTACAAGGTTTTTGCTTATACTATTGTACATAATAAAATCCAATAAGATACAACCTGTTTAGACCATTGGAGACAGAAGAACAAAAGCTAGATGAGACTTCAAAACAAGATGGTACTAAATCAGTATTACCTATTAAGATGTCATTTTCTCCAAAATAGCTGTTCCTATCATCCAATCGTCTCTGTCTCATTTCTGTTGAGCTCTGTTTCTGTCAGTAGCTGTCAGTTTGTCTTCTTCATTTTGTTCTCTGCTCCATTCGTTGTAGCCTCCCCGCCACTATTTCTGGGTTCTTTGTATTTTTCTTTTTTTAGAATATCCTGCAATACTTTCTGTAGGGTTGAATTGGTGGTTGCAAATTCCCCCAGTTCCTCTTTATCCTGGAAGCACCTCGTTTTTCCATCAATTTCCAGGGACAGTTGTGCAGGATATCTCAATCTTGGCTGGAGATTATTATCTTTCAAAGCTTGAATTATTTCCCCCCACGCTCTTCGTGATTTGATGGTTTGTGAAGAGAAATCTGCTGTAATTCTGATGGGTGTTCCCTTGTAAGTAGTCTGTTTCTTGTCTCTTACAGCTTTTAATATTCTGTTCTTGTATTGAATTTCTGGAATTTTTATTATTATATGCCTGGGTGTTGCTCTGTTAGGGTTGTAGGTAGCTGGGGTCCTATATGCCTCATATATCTGAGTATCTTTACCTTTTGCTAAATTAGGAAAATTCTCCTGGATTATTTCTGGGAGTAGCTTTTGTAGTTCACTTGTTTGTGTCCCTACTTCTTCTTTTATGTTCTTAATCCTTAAGTTATGGCTCCTCTTATCATCTTCTTGTCTTTGTATTATTGCTGTTTGTTTCTTTGTCATTTTTAAGAAGTTTTTCATTTCATTCTCCCATATTACAAGTCTGCCCTCCAGTTCAGATAGTCTGTCCTTAGTTTCTTTCAAGCTGTTATGCCAGTCTTCGATAGACTTCTTAATTTCTTGATAGTCCCTTTGAACCTGCTTCACATACTCAATGTTTTCTCTGTTTTCTCCATCAAGCAATTCTCCCCTCTTTTTCTGTTCTTCCATTCCACCATCTGTTTTTTCCTGGGTGGTGCTTAGCATTTCTCTAACTATTCTGCATACTTCTAGCTTCAGGTCGTTGATAACTTCATTCCTGAATTGGTCTATGAGGCTCTCTAGATGGCGCTTAATGTATATTGGTGCGGTGTCCACTATTGCCTGTTTCTCAGGATTGGGGGCCGAGGAGCCTTTTTTGTTGCTTCCCTTCCCCATATTTTCTCTTCCTTATAAAATGCAAGCTTACAAAGGAAGCCCGGCTTCCCTGCCTGTCAGCCACAGCCTGGTCAAATTGCGCTGGCTAGTTGTTCCCGCCCACCGCTGCGCCCCAGGGAGTCGCGGAGGGGGCAGCCTACGAGGGAGTCAGTCGCTCCTCCGGGCCACCGTCAGGCTCTGGGATCTGGGTTAGGCCAGCCTAGGGAGTCCGCCAGCAGCGTCACTCAGGCCAGGGACTTTTCACCAATCCCGTCCGAGAGGGGAATGTGTGGCTGGAGTTGCCATGGCGCCCTGCTCCTACAGGACTGCCCGAGCCCAAAAAGACCTCCACTGGAGTCAAACTGTGGTAGGGGCTCAGTTTTCTCGCTCACCTTGCCACCAGTCAGTTTTCGTGTACGCCTTCTTGTCCGTCCTGTTTTCGACTCCGTTCGCAGACTCCCGTTCCCGAGCTTCTGCGCGTCTCTCCTTGCCGAGCCGCTTGTGGAGGCAGCCAGCTGCCGGGCGGCGGGAAACCCAAATCGCGGCGGGATTCCCAAATCGCGGTTTCCAATGGCGCGTAGTCGAGCCTCCACACCGAGCCTTTTCTGTTCCTATTTTAGTGCCAGGACTATATTTTAAGTTGGTTTCTCTCAGCCCAGTTCGTTCCTGAGTCAGCAGAGCATATCTCTACTGGTTCGTGACTCCTTAGTCCGCATCATTCCTGGCCTCTGAGCCAAGTCTTCCAGAGAGCCTTCGGTAGTTGCTGTTGTCTGTCCGCCATGTTCTCCTCCTCCTTACTGTTAAATTTTCAACATCTATAGAAGTTCACGGATCTTTTTTAAATATCCTAAAGTATATAACCAAATTTGTATGTCTCTCCAAAATCCTCATGGTATGAATTCTTGTGGAATCGAATGATGATAAAAACCTCATTGGAATCGGAGCAGGACCATTCAGGAAAAATCCTAAGTGTGTTATGAGAACTGTAACTATGTTTCAGAATCTACATCCTTTGGAGTCTTTTAATGTTTTTCATTTTCAGGAAGGTAGCCTTTATTCTATGTATTAAAAATACATATTCTATGTATTCTTTTATGCCCATAGAATAAAAGCTACTATTAGTGGAGCAAATAGGATTATTCTGTGGTTTACTTAATGTCATAGCTTTGAGCCTCTGACTCTTCTATCCCAGAAGTTTCTGGCTTTGGCATTTGA